AAGTGCTTATCAACAGATGGATACATAAACAAAATGCGGTATAATACAATTAGACCAATATTCAGCCATAAAAAGGATGAAATCAGCATAGCAAAGGAAACATCTGTACTCCCATGTAGACCATGACTCAATACTTTTAGTTTGTCCACAAGGTCATAAAATCATCACAATTATCTAATTTTAGAACATTCTGTGCCCCCAAAAGAAATTTCATGCTATGAGGAAAGGACATTTCAGGAAGGGGTGGAATAGACTACCAGTTAGCAATACAAATCAATCTATAATGTTGAGGAAAATTTACCCGCATGTCATCAAGAGCACTACCGCATGAATGGAAAACGTGTTTAAGAGCAGCACAAGATGAGGACATAGGGCTTGCTGTGATTTGAGTGTCTATTATCCAATCAGTTAAACAAGCCTACAGTAAGAGTATTCTCAATGGAGAACATGTAAACACTTGCCAAAATAACATTGATTAAATATATAATGGAGGCCCAGAGCAATAGTCCAGTGGCTAAAGTCCTCGCCCTGAATGCGTCAAGATCCCATACAAGTGCCAGTTCTAATCTTGGCAGCCCCACTTCCCATTGAGTTTTTTGCTTGTCACCTGGGAAAGCAGCTGAGAACAGTCCTCAGAAAATTTGGGACCCTGCACCAGTGTGGGAGACACAGAAGAAGCTCCTGGCTTCAGATTGGCTCAGCTTCAGCCATTGCAACCACTTGGGGAGTGAATCAGCAGATGGAAGATCTTCCTCTCTGTCTCTCCACCTCTCTATATATCTGACTTTCCAACAAAAATAAACAAATTTTGGAATAGGAAGCATGACCTCAAAAATATGATGCTGGAGTAGGCCACAGAAGTTTAAAGAGAAATGAGGAGACGGGAAAAAAGACAATAAAGAACGAGGAGAGAAAGACACAGAGAGAATAGACCTATTGCTAATGGGAGAGAAGGAGGAAGGGAAAGAGAAAGAAAAGGAGGAGGAAATGAACGAGACAGGAAGAAAAACAAGGAACCTTACTTACAATAGGCTTAGCATGTTCTTTCAAAATCCCAAGGTTTTAGAGTAGCATCAGAATGGACCTTAATAAAAGATGTCAGTATTTCTCCACTGATTCTCCATGAAACACATCGTTGTCAGATAGTCATACATCCCACCTTCCTTCTCCCAACCAACAAGAATTGGGACCAACAAGATGCTTAAATTAAAAAAAAAAAAATCCAAGCCAGACCAGTTCTCATGCTAAGGGCTTGCTTTCAAAGATTCCCAGAGTCACATAGAGACCAAATTACGGCCTATGTATGACTAGTTGGTGAAAGAGAGTTCTGGAAGCATTTTATCTTTGGGGGGTGGGGATTGAAGTTCTTTATTTTTCACCAGGACTCTTTTCTCTCTGTCTTGAGTGTGGTTTGAAAAGATACGAGTGTTGGAAAGATGACAGTCATCGTGTAACCATGTAATGACAGATCTATTGAAGGTCTAGAACTAGACATTACGCAAGGATATAAAAGGAACAGAAGTTTGGCCCAGCATGATAGCCTGGTGGCTGAATCCTCTCCTTGCAAGCCCAGGGATCCCGTAAAGGCACCGGTTCATACCACATCTGCTCCAGTTCTCATCTAGCTTGGGAAAGCAGTAGAGGATAGCCCAAAGGTTTGGGACCCTGTACTCGTGTGGAAGACCTGGAGGAAGCTCCTGGCTTCAGATTAGCTCAGCCCCAGCCATTACAGCCACTTGGGGAGTGAAACCAGCGGATAGAAGATCTTTCTGTCTCTTTTCTCTGTATATCTGCCTTTCCAATAAAAATAAATAAATCTTAAAAAAAAAAAAAAGCAGCAGAAGTTATGGTCCCTGAACCTAAAGTGCTTGTAATTTCAAGTCTCAAGACAGGCACATGAATTAACTTGAGAACAACTACAATGCAACTTACAGTACTGCTTGGTGCCAAATAATGCGGAGCTAATGGCAACCCTCCAGAATCCACTATGGATAATTTGATCCTGCCAATACTCCTTGCCAATCCTGTTAAACCGATGAGGTTTTTAGGAAAGATGTGACATTTAGAAGGATTCTCTAATTCTTATAAATATATTGCTGCTGCTGTTTAAATCTCACAATTTTCACCAAAAAAAAAAAAAAAAAAAAGAGAGAGAGAGAAAGAAACACAACATTGAAAAAAACACTGTGCTGAACACTAGGTTGTAGTCTGAATAAAACCACCTTATAGCCAGGGGACACTGAGAATCTCACTTAAACATCTGGGATTTTGGTTCTTTAGTTTGTTAGTTGGGAAAATGATTCATTCACCAAATATTGACCAAACACTTAGTGTTGGAAACTATTTTTTAGAACATAGAGAAATAGCAGGGAACAAATGAGACAAATATATACATATTTTATAACTATAAAAATATGTATGTGACACATCAAGCTATAGTCAAAAATGCAACAGAAAAACATAAAGCATGGTTAGGAGTATACAAAACGTGGCAGGCAGGCACAGCCAGAAAGTACTAGTTTTTAGAGAGGGAAATGTGTGTTTTGTGTGTGTGCACACATGTGTACAATTGTCTGCTTGTTTGGAAGGAAAGAAAAGGCAAGTAATTAATAACATATAAAATGTAGTTGGCGGATAACTCAATACGGTGTGAACATAAGGTATAATTATGATTGTTATTACTGAGGATTAAGTTTAACCTCTTTAGCGTGACATTTAAGATCCATTCACACAACCTGCCAACCTACCTCTCCAACTTTCTCCTGTATAAATTTAATTTTCAAATGGAGATGTTTCCATTCATCTAATCTATTGGCTAAATAACCACATGACATTTTACATCCTTCCATTATCTCTTCTGTGACAATCCTTAAGATTTCGTTTTTCGTGATTTTTCCACCCCAATTAAATGATAAATTTGGGTAGGTCAGACTGTATAAGTGCCTTGAGCATAAATGTGTCAATGACATATACTGTTTGTTTTCACCCTGTATTGCTGTTTGCTATTACCCTGAAATCTTGCATTCTTTTTGCAATTTGATGTAAGCTTAATTTCACATGAGTTTTTAATCACCTTATTGATCCTGGAACTTTATATTGTTGAGGAGCAGAATTTCTTAAACTTGTTGTTTAAGAAGGTTCCCCACCACCTCCACCCCTGCCCAGAGCCTTCCGATGAGAAGCAGCGTCCTGGATGGCCCTTTTCTTTTGATATTAAAGTATCTGTTTTCACACTTTTGACTTTCAGAGGTGAAAGAGATAGTGGTGTTTGGAGCAATTTATCATAACAGCCATAGGAAACTAATGTGGTCAGGTGATAAACCAGGCCTGAAGTAGACATCTAGCAGACTCCAGCCTCAATTTCAGCTATATTCATTGCATAATCTCAGGAAAACTATTCCGTTTTCCTAGAATATGAAATCCTGCCTCCCTTGTAGCATTGTAATACAGAGGGATAAAACTATTCTTGTGAGTATCTTGCAAAGTGTCCTATGCTAAGTAGACATCAATCGCAAAATTGTGGGTTACAGTTTTGTTAATAAGGTGAAAGACTTGGGGGGGGGGGGGGAAAGGCATATATCCTTAGCATTCTGAGGCTCTAAATATCACGCCATGACCACTCCCACAATCATAACGATGCTTTAGAAATTGTTTAGTACCAGAAAGGCCACCCAGGGCACCTGCTCCAAACTTCCAGACCAGCAACAGTGAACACTGCTAACGCCTTTGTAGCATTCTTAGCTCAAGAGCCAAGTCACATCTTTAGCTTCTTAACCCAATCACCAAAGCTCACAAACAAGATACATTTAAGCCCCTGAGCTAGTGGCTGAAAGAGCTTGGTGTCTGCCAGCAGCATGGTCCTCAGTAGAGTGCTTTCCGGAAATGCATGTTCTCAGGCCCACCTCACTCCCCCCACCCCCCATCCCTAGACCTACTGAGTTGAACGAGACTCCTGGACCAGTCCTGTGCAACGGCTGGGAAGATAGATTTGGGGATGGTTTGAATCCCAACTGCATCAAGCAATACGTGGAAATCATCTAAGCTTTCCTATCCACCCAGTGAAGATCCAACTCTCTTTACAACGCCTCCACTGGCTGTTGTGACAAGGACAGAGGCTGCTAGAAAGGCATTTTTGCATGTGCCTGCCAACAAATGTCGTTAATGATAGTTCTTGTTGTGGTGTGTTTTACACCACCCACCACTGCTAACCTTACTACTCGTCCATTCACCGCGCCCAGCTGGGATCCTTTCCAAACCCATCCATGCCCATGGGGGTGGCGAGTAGTTGTGGGCGGCAAAAGGACAGACACACTGCCTGCAATGGCATCTTAGGATACGCAGGATTCTGCACGTTTGGCAGCCCAAGTGCAACATCGGGCGGGTGAGTGGGTGGTCTCCTTGCTTACAGCTCATCTCTGCACGTGGCTATGTTAGAAGCCACGGGCTGAAAGTCTAGACTCAGCCTTCAGGCTGGTGACACGAAGGAGGGAGCAGGGGTATTGGCTCTGGGTCCCTTGGCCGGCTTTCACGAGCCGCTTCTTAACTTCGTCTTTGCTCTCCTCGCCGCAGACCCGCGAACCGTCCATACCCTGGCCAGTCCCTGCTGGTGCAAACACTTTTCCTCCTCTCTGGGGAATAAGGAAAGGGGGGAAAGGGGAGAGAAGGGGTTCGGTGTGGGCAAGGCTAGAGCCTCCCTCTCCCTCCCACCCCGCGCAACCCCCAAGCTTGCAACCGCTTGCGAAGCCGCAGCCCTGGTTGGGCAGCACTGGACAGACGGGCGCCTCCCGGGCCTGACGGATGAGCCACCGGGCACGTGAACTCCCACCTCCAAATTGGCCCAGCGCCGGGCGGCGGCGCCTGCAGCGGCGCGCCGGGGGCAGCCGCGTCCCCGCCCCGCCGGCGCGCGCCGCCTCCGCTTTTTGCATAGTAATTTCAGTTCCTGGTCTCCCCGAGCTCGCTCACCCGCTCGCCGGAGCAGGACAGCCAGTCGAGGCCTTACCGAGCCCGCGGTGCGGCGCCCGGAGAGCCGGCGCCCGGGAGATGCGACGCGAAGACCTCGCCACAGCGCAGGCAGTGGCCCCGCTGCCCCCGCGAGAAGCCGGCCCGAGCAGGTAGGCGACCTGCGGCCGCGGGAGGAGACGCCCCCCGCGCCACTCCGCCCGGCGGCCGGCCCCCGGGAGGCGAGCGTGGCGGTGTGCGCCGCCCCGGTGGGGAGGGATTTGGTCGTAAGGTTTTGCCTGGGGATCCTGTGCCTGTTGCTCTGGTCCCCGTCCCATCCTGCGCTCCAGGAGGGGCGGTCTTCCTTGCAGGTGATGGATTTCTCTGCAAGGTCATTGCTCCCTGAACCTCTGGACGTGAAGGTAAATGGGGAAGACGCCAGCTGCCCCTTGAAAAGGCTTATAATCAGTGGGATCTGCACCATGATAATACCCTAACAGAGGCGTGAGTGTGTGTGTGGCATTCTCTTATTTTCTCATACTATTTCCTTTGAGGTCAAAAATACTATAGTCGGTGTAATAGATATGCATTTATATGTGTGTGTGCGTTTCTAGACACATGCAGATATATTTCCACATGCAGTTTTTCTGGAGGTAGCCAAAGGAAGAGCGGGCAGAGACTGATAAAGAGAAATGATTGCAGAGACCTGTTCGGTGGCTTAGAGGTGAACTTTGGAGCGACATTAAATCAGCGTGGAACCTCAAGGGGAAGAGGTTTCTGGGGAGAGAATTTTTTTCCCCAAAAAAGGGCTAGAGATGGTCAGCCAGTACACACAGCAGATTTTCACGCTATCCAGGCAGATGGAAAAGATGTAGGCAAAATTTCAGACGCAACAATGGACACTGGGAGGGAGTGCGGAGGAGGGGTCCATGATCCACAGTGGCAAGTGAATTTGGGGTGCTGGGAAGGCAGCAAATCCAGATCAGGTTTCAGGGCCTCCTGGAGGGTCCTGGGGGGAATCACTGCCTGTGGTGTTAGCAGTTCAAGGTTAAGGTGAATGTTCAGAAGGTAGCCCAGGGAGGCGCAGGGAGAGGGAGGACTTGGAGGGGGTGGGAAGAGAGCTCTGAGTGGACACACAAGAAGCAGAAGCAGCCACCTTTTATAAAGGTCTCTTCTTTCTCCTGTGCAAGCAGAACTTGGATCTGCTCCATCTAAACATTTCTCAGAATACATCCGTGGAAGATCTGCTGGTCCATGTTTTCTTTTTTTTTTTTTCTTTTCCTTTATTTAATTTTTTGTTTTTTGTTATTATTGCAAGAAATCTGGGTCATGGTGGGACCAGAAGAAACTGTTTACAACACAGCAAGATTTGGAGAGAGTTGATGAAGGCTTAGCTTCATGAAATATTTACACATCTCTTGCGTGGGTTTTTTGTTTGCTCTTGTTGGTGCTGCTGCATATTTTACTTTGATAATGCTTTGAGAGTGCTTCTCCCGAATGTGCCTATTTTCCAGTTAGAAACTAGCCTTTCTTTTCCATTGTGCTCGCCGTTGGCTGCCCTGAGTAACAATTGTGGAAATAAAGAATACATGAGTCACAGCACAAAGAAGAAAATCTTCTCGGTTGCTATCCCCGAATGGCACTCGAAGCTGATTGCTCTTTGGAACGAGCACCCCACAGAACATGGGTTCAGCTTTTGTGCATGTGTGTGTCTGTATGTGTTGAGTAGGGGGACTAGGTGATGGATTCATAAACAGAAAAAAAAAAAATATGCAGCCATTGCTGCTGCAAGCCCAGAGGTGTTACCACTGACTTATTATGGATCAGCAGAAGAGTTCATGGAGAGTCCTGCACCGTGTGTTGTGGTGTGTTGTGGAGGTCAGGCTTTGTCTGGTCGTTGATGAGACTTCTGTGAACACGGCGGGTAGAAATGGCAAGTGCCTCAGCCCTGGAGGAAGTGGAGGAGGAAAGCACTGTATGAATCAGACCGGACTCAAGTGGAGGGGAGGTGGATTCCAACTAGCTGTTTTGAAACTTTAGTGTTTTAATTACCTCAAAAGACTGGCCCAATGTACTCTAGCATTTGTTCCTGCAACATTTTCTTGATTATGATTCTCATGCACTTAAAAGCACATATATTTAGATCCAAAGACGCTTCCTTGCAGCTACCAGGGAAACACTAAAATATTTATTGCAACAATCACAAAAGCATCAAGGACTGGCTTCAGAAGGTGAGGGCCGAGTCCAACCCCAGACCGCATGCAGGCTGCTTCTCAGCAGCAGCTGCTTCTCCTCGTTCATGCATTTATTCATTCATTCACTTGTTCATTCATGCATTCAACATCCGCGTGTGTTTATACTGAACCAGATGTGGTCCTGGATTGTGAAATGGAAGAATGAACACAATAGTCTCAGCCTACCGATTTTAGGAGGGAGACAGGCAGGAAACAGCAAGTGAAGTGGTGTGACAAGGAGCTGAGAAAGCCAGCCTGTGGAAGTGATGAGGACATGGAAAGTGTCCCCGGGCCCTAAAGGCTGAGAGGAAAGCCTGTGGAGAGATGGTGAGGCATTCCTAAAACCAGCACCAAAACATGCAGAATCCCAAGAAAACAAGTAGGTGTGAGTGGTTGAGGAACTCAGAGTAAAAAAGGTGGAAGGAGTAAGCTGGAGAGGCAAGTGATTGACACTCATAAGCTCGTGTCCAGAGACGTCCCACCTCGACTGGCCAGCAGATCCTTGAATGTGCAGAAGCAACAAGGATGCAAATTTCCTGAGGCTGTGGTTCAAATTCTTCAAATAGCCATCTCTCACATCTTCATTTCCAATAGCCTGGTTAGAAGGAAGAGCCATCCTAATTCTCTGTGCCTCAGTGCCTTCATCCGTGAGTTTTATTGCTCATTTTTGCATGTTGTGAAAATAAAGAAAAGAATGGAGATTTGAGCTTTATAGAAAATCATGAAATCTTATTTTTGTGAGAACATTGCTCAGGACAAAGGGATGAAAAGAAATAGATCTATCTATCTATCTATCTATCTATCTATATATATATATATATATATATGTGTGTGTGTGTGTGTGTGTATACTTATAAGTATATGTATACCCCAAGTGCTTATTGTCCCAGGTGAGTCCAAAATCAAATGCATGATGATCTGGTCTGAACACCTGAATGAGCAAACCAGTAACTCAGGAAAAAGGATTCAAGAGAGCTCAAGGGCCACAGTTAATTATTAAATTTCTTTTTCCAATGAGAAAAAAAATAGAGTAATCCAAAAAGGATCAATAAGTGCCCTTCTGGAATTGTACTTTTCAAACCACATATCCCAAATACTGTGAAGTCCATCTGGGGAGTCTAATCAGCAGGTTCATTTATGAATATCAAGTAGCTCAGAAAAGCAGCATATAAAGGATGAGTGAGCATTGCACACGGAGCCTCTAAAGCTTTGTTTATATGAATGTGTGTCCACTGGACTGAAATGGGAAGTACATATCTTATATCATGTCCTAAAAAGTCCAAAAGCTCCTGCTGGATATGATACAAAGACATGCCCCCAGTTTGCAAAACACCAAGGGTTGACAAAGAAATATGAGGTACGCACACGTGTGCAATTTTATGAGTAGCATAATTGTCTCATTGGAAAAGGCAAGACTGGTGGCTTCCCAAGGCAGAGAGCAAGATCTGGAAGGGCTGGGGGAGCAGATGGGATGTGAGCTGATTTGTGGAATACAGCTGGGTGGGGTAGGGGTGGGGTCATGAAGAAGGGATCATGATACAGAAAGCAGCAAAGAATGAGGGAGAATCTCTGGTTTAAGAATCATAATAGGAATTGCTTCTCAGCCTTTTGGCTAACACCAAGTGAAGAATCACATGGGAAAAAAGAGCATCAAGTCAGAGGGAGGAAGTCACACTGGAGTTTCTATTTAGACTGGAATACTATTCATGTTGTTTATTTTTCAATAAACGTCAGTGTGTATATTTAAAGTATATAGCATGATGTTATGAGATATATAGATTGTAAAATCTTTACTACAGTGAAACAAGTAAATATGTTTGTCATTTCCTGTAGTAACCCATTCTCTCACTCCTTTGCCTGCAAGAAATGCCTGTTCATTTGAACAAGATACTTACTACAATATGCTTTTATTAACTATATAGTACAGTACATTAAATCTTTACACTTAGACATCCTACAAATCTGCTTTGTATACTAAACCTCAATCTCCCTGTTTCCTCTCTACATCTGCCCTTCCCCCAACACACACACACACACACGAATAACCACTATTTTATTATGCTTATTTGATTTTTTTCTATCACTGTTCACTTCCTACTCATTTTATATCTAAGATTTCATTTCCTACTACTGCAACTTTCAGAAAATCTAGCCAGCTTGGCCATAACATCATAAATCTGTCATTTCCTGTCAGTTTTTTAATTTCTCTTGCAAGAATCTACTGGTTGGGCTTTTTGAACGTGATGACTGAACTATTAAAATTATGGGATACGCTACGTTTTGGCATGATTATTTCATGTGCACAACACAGCTATGGTCACTGACTGGTCAGGCGATTGTGACCAATTCAGCAAACACTTCCCTTAACTTCATTGCATTGCTTCTCCTGAGAACCCAGTGTGGGCACAGGCAGCTCCAGGAAGATGAAAAGAATCATGTGTAGCCATCCATTCCGGAAGGAAGGGCGACAGCCACCGGGGCTTCTCATTTTCAGTTGTTTTGTGATGTGACCGTCATTTTGGCTACATGTTTATTTTTTCTGATTTTTATCTATTTTACTGGAAAGACAAAGAGAAATTCTGCACTGATTTATTTCTCAAATGTCTATAACAGCCAGGACTGGGCCAAGTAGATGCTGGGAGCCAATAACTCAATCCAGATCTCCCACAGAGGTGGCGGGGACCAAGTGAACTAACACCTGCTTGAACTAACACCTGCTTCCCTCCAGGGTGAACGTTAGCAGGGGGCTGGAATTAGAACTACCAGAACTACCGCTAGGCTCCAGTTCCTGCACTAGGATACAGGATGTGGGCATACCAAAGCAGGTCTTAATTTTTAACAGCTCAGCCAATGTCCACTACAGTTAAATGTTCAATTACATTAATATGCATCTCTAGGAACTAACATCATTGAGTTTTACTGTGACTTAATAGTGATTT